GTCCGGCTTCAGACCTTCTTACTTCCCTCTTCCGGACAACCTCTCTTCCGCGGGCAGGTCCCTCAATCCTCACGGCTTGTTCCTTGATCCCTCAGCTGGCTCGTGTGCAATCGCCTATGTCGCCGTGCCCGCCCGTTTGTCTCAACGCCAGGCTCTCCCCTGCTGGGCACCCGACTCCAGCTTCAATAACGAGCTTCCCAATAATATCGAACGGTCCCCCACATAATGAATATCCCCCGCAGCGACTCAGCTGGCTACATCCCAGTAAGGTTCTCTTCTCCTACGGTCTTCCCGTTGGCCTCCCGATTCCCCCCTTCGCTATTCCTATCAACAGAATGCACCAACCTGAATGAATCTGCCACTAAGGTACGGACGGGTACCCACTTCCTTCCGATTCTAATTTCGGAACCCAACTCGCCCATATCACTCCTCCTCCAACGTCATCTTCACGCATGCATCATGCGCCTTTCGCTGTCTAGATTCATCCTCATCCCAACTCCCGACATACTAACCTTCTTCCCCAACTAAGTGTGGGATCGGATTCAACACATCCAGTCGCCTTATTCTTTTCTTTTATCTCACTCGTTTTCACGCTCCATCGAGCGAAATATTGATCTATCAACCCCGGCCATGCCTGTTTCCCGATAGCCTTCGCGCAGCCTTCCTTCTCACTTAACTCCAAACCTACTAATCTTCCCGCTAATCTGACTTCACCATTACGTTCGCAATGACGGAAAACCCTTGTTTCGAGCTTTCTCATGCCCGATTCTATCGAGAATCGAGTATTATCTCGATTTCCTCTTTCTGCCTCATTCACCTCTCCTCCATAGCCCCGCGCAGCACTTTTCTCGTATACCCCCTATTCTACTGACCCTCCCCACGTTCTAACTTCACCGCTCGACTCGCTTTGTCGGAAAAAAACCCGTCTCGTCTCTTCCCCCGCTCGATTTCACCGAGAATCGAGCGAGCTCTTTGTCGTCCTGTCTCCTATAGTCGATCTTCTCCCTCTTCACTTCCGAATGCACCCGTCACAAGCGCCCGTCCGGGTTCGTTCCATACGATACCAATGTTGTGCATTATTCTAACTCCCTGCTTCAACTTGCCAATGAACCCGGTCGCGGATCACGTTCGGGTGCACTCACCCTTTCTGCACCCACGTCTTGGCTCAGCGACCCGTCACTCCGCTGCTTCACGGCTCGCTGCCCGCTGCCTGCCACCTCAGCGGTCGTCACACTCTCCTCGCCCGCAACTGCCCGGCGCTGCCCAGCACGTACTCGGCGCCTCGCCCGGCCCGACTTCACCACGCAGTGGTCCCCCCGTCAGCTCCTCCCCTCTCTCTCTGCGCATGCACTCGGCGCAGACGCCCGTCTGGGTTCATCCCCTCCTCATACTTCTCCGTCCAACTTCGCCCTGCTGCTGCCCGCTGTCCATCGCTCCTCTTTGCAGCAGCTTTTCACTTTGCCTTACTCCGCCCGCAGCTGCTAGCGCACTCCACCTGGCCAGCTCCGAGGAGGGACTTCGGGAAGATCCAGCTACTAACCGGTTCGATTAGTCTTCCGCCCCTATATCCAAGTCCGACGAGGTAGTCGGCACGGCAGCGTTGCTGTTGCCTGATCCCGCCGGGTTTTACCCATCCGCTTCGCATGTACCTGCGGCAGAACCCCGGACAGGTTCATTCGCCGCAGTGCCAAGGCCTTTCGGCCTATGTTTCGACAGTTCGCGCATACCCCCACTGCCCGTGGCTTTGCTCAATACAGCGCCTAGCGCCCGTAGCCACGCCAGTCTTCTCTGTATCAATCCAATTTTAACGAATGTCCCAAAGGACATAGCCTGGGCCGCGGGGTCAATCAGCCCCGGCCCTCAGGCAATTCAGAATTTTTTTTTATTTTTTTTTTTTACTCATCAAGGCCCATCATCTGGGTTTGAGCACGGTCTATATTTCAATAGTTCAATGGTGTACCCAGTGAGCTAGGCTTTTGGGTGCCTGCTACACCCACGGCACCGCGCTCCGGGCCAAAGCGGGGCCGCTCATGACAAATACAAAAAAAAATAAAAGAAATAAAATATCATAAATAAGAGCCCCTATGCACGGTGCGGGGACTGCTAAAGTCCCACCAGTCCCGTGGACCGGCCCTGCCGCCGCGCGTGTCAACAAAACCAGAGGGGGATAGCCCGTCGACCCTCAACCCCTCGGTTTTCTCCACAACGCTCCGATGCAGCTGCGGCGCCGACGCTCGCCGACCTCGATCCCAAAACCTCCGTCGCAGTAATCCGATGTCGTAACCTATAGGGCTATGCCCCAGCTTGGAACAAAACAGGCGCGATATCCTATATGAAGTAGAGCCGCGCCGTACCCAGGGCCGCAAAACGCCCTGGTCGTTCTCTCAGCCCGCATTTGCATGTGAGGTCACCAAGTGTCCGTGCCGGCCTACCGACCCCGCGCCGTGGCCATTCCGCGTGCTTACCTACGCACCAGTCCCGCCATCGGTCAAAAATACTTAGTTTAATCACCAGAAGAAAGATTCGGTCAACCCCGCCGGCTTCATGATCAAAGGGGGAAAATCACACGCGCGCCTTAAAGCTGCGCGCTCACTCTTATGCCAAGCAGCCCTTAGTCTAAACGACACACCTATCGTATGAACAGCGGATACTGTCGTGACTCGCACGGCATGCTCAAACTTTTTAGCTTACTTCCTGTCAAATGCAAAAGCCAGGGCGGATACCCTTGTAAGGGTATTCGCACCGACAGCGTCCCACGTCATCTAGAGGGACGGGGTGCGATAGTGAATAGTAGATCGTAACAAGTGCATTCACGAGTCACAAGGTTACGGTCATTACGAAGCATTCGCGCAATGTAAGGACAACGGATTTTGCGAGTAAGAGGTAAGACGGGCTATGGATATCAAAACCTACGCAGTATCTACGAGCAATGTCCAGAAAAGGGTGGAGAGGAAGTAAGGTAAGCAAGGGAGGAGAAGGGGCGACTCGGATTTAAGAAGGAGAAGCGAAGAACAAGGGAGATTAGAGGGAGGGCGGGGGTTGAAGAGGTGGAGAGGGGGAGTCGGGTGGCAAAAGTCGACTTGGCTCTAATAAGGAGAAGCAAAGAACAAGGAAGTCTAGAGGGAGGGAAGGGTAAGGAAAAGCGAAGAACAAGGAAGTCTAGAGGGAGGGAGGGTTAAAGAGGTGGAGAGGGGGAGTCGGGCGACCATAGACAAGTGCACATCAGTGTTGGATTAAGGGGGAAAAAAAAAAAAAAAAAAAAAA